TTCCAAGCCTCAAACCACAACAAGTTACCACTACCAGCAGTTCACCATATTAGCATACCATCAATGATTTAGTTAATCAGCTATTACTGATTAACTGGTTTTGGAAAAGGTTGGGTTTCTTTTTTTTCTTTTTTTTTTTCTTTCTTTTTTTTTTTTTTTCTCTCTTTACTTCTCTGCCGCTTCCAGAATTCTCACATTTTCACAGTCCCTTGCTCAACTTCACTACCTGATGTCTTCTCCTTTGTTCTCAGTAGAAAAAAGATCATCTTGGACTAGATCCTCACTGTTAAAAATCCGTATAGCTCCAGAGAGTTCAGTAAAGCTCTGCTCATTTAATGTGACTGAGTACATGGCCACCCTCATTAGATGTTGGGCAAGCAATGTATTTAACACACCTTGAGGTTTCTCAGGCTAAGTATTTACATCCTCGGTTTACATTAATGTGACATGCATGCATTTGCATATATTAATAGCATTGGCATATCTGAATAAAAAGAGCAATAATCTGTGGATATTTTCGCATGTAAATTCTCTGAAGCATGGAGAATTCCATTTTGTATATGCAGAAGCACTTTTTTGTTGCTAACAGAAACAAATGATAAGTAATAACAGCAATTTACAATGATTAATAGTAGTAAGAGATAAAAATATGCTAACTAGAAAATCTGTGTTAATAGTACTTAATCTCAAACATTTTATAGTTAAGACACTATTTTTTTGGGGTACCATTAAAGTCATATCAACTAGTTTTAGAGGTCAGGCTAGAAGCAGGGCTTTTCTGGGATTATTCTCCTACACTCCCTCCTTCCAGGCATATCTAGGTCTTCCCTTTTAGGAAGGAGTCAACCACTGAACAAAACAGTAGGCAGCGCAGCAGTAGGAGAGAGTGGAGGTGGCTGCTGCTGGTGCTGGCTTTCAGCTAATTGCTGTACCACTGTGGCAAGTCAGTTCCACCATAGCTCCTTTTTATTCCCCCTAGACAACTGTTAACTCATCCAGCATTTGGATGAGTTTCTGCTGGAGGCCCTTCTTTAGACTAACTTTATCAGTGTAATAGTTTCAGGCAAAGGTAAACTTAACAGTCTGCAATTCATGATGGTTAACTTAATGTTTTGCAGTTCCTTTGTAGGGAATAATTTCAAACTAATCTCTACTCTATGCTCCGTTTGTAGCCACAGCTGTTTCCAGTGAGCAGAATCCTGTTATTATCATAGCTGTCGTTGCTGTGGCAGGAACCATCATTCTGGTCTTCATGGTGTTTGGGTTCATCATTGGACGAAGGTATTGCACCCTAAATAGGCATGAGTACATCTGTCCCCACTCTTGTGAATTTTTGAGTTGTAGTATAATCTGGGATAGTAATTTGCAAAACTGCAATGGGAGTAATTTTATTAAGGACAATTTTCATTTAAATCTTGTTATTAATTACACATTTTTTTCTCTTTCTTTGGCAAGTCATACTTAAATCAAGATGTTCTTTTTGTCCTATGTAAATGTGCTGTAAAAGGAACCCCTAGCAGGTTCTTTACCTGTACTCCTCAAAGTTCCTCTTTCTGTTCAGTTTTCTCACATGGAGAATTCTGACACTTTATCTGATCAGCTTTTAAATGACTTTACATTCAAGAAAAGAGGCACAGCAGTAGATTTAAGAACACCCTCATGTAAAACAGTGTTCTGCTTTCAAGTTCTTTAATCCTCTGTTTTATCTACAGAAGCTTTTCACCAGAACTAGAATTTTTTCTTTAGGACCTGTCCCAACTGGTATTTGATACAAAAGTCTTTTGATTGCAACTGTTCATGATTTATTTAAAACTCCACTGTCATGAGAATTACAGCTAAAACTTTCAAAGAGCCTACAGGAGTTAGGTGCTCAGTGCCTGAAAATCCCAGTGTGCAGAACTGATGCTGTCAGGAGTTTAGATGTAAGGAGGTTAGTCATTATTTACCAGTAAAACTAGTGTCTTTCTTTTCAGGCATTGTGGCTATAGCAAAGCTGATCAAGAAGGAGATGAAGAACTTTACTTTCATTGTAAGTGTTTTGCCTTCTTTTCTCTCCTTCAAAATTTCCCAACTGCAATAGTGTAGACAATACTAAAACAACACTCCATGAAAGACAAAGCTTTAAGAAATTTTTAAAAATGCTATGTAAATAGCAAGTGGGAAGTTAAACACAGTAAAAATAAGACCAACAGAAAAGGAATGCAGATTAAAGTCAACATTGCTCACACAGAGTGTTTTATTTCTGTAGTCATACATGATATACTGTTCTCTTTGTTCTGCTTTGTTTGTTTGCTTGGGTTTGGGTTTTTTGGGGGTTTTCTTTTTCTTTTTTTTTTTTTTTGTATTTTGATTGCTTTGAATATGCTTCACACTGTCCTGATGGTCCCTCTGAAGTGCAGCATTTGAGATATCTTTGTCTAAGTGACTATATGCTCTTTACATAAGACAAACTTCAGATTGAGGAAGTGTGGATCACTGCATCCCCCTAACAATTAAGCTGTTTTGCTCAAAAGCTGTTTTCTGCAACTGTGAATACTGCAGCATCAATATTTACAAAACACAAAGTCCTTAAAAATAGAATATTTAATGTGAAAAGAAAGTTCAGCTACATCATTACTGTTCTCTCTTCTAGAATCACTTGCCTAGCTCAGAGTAGCACCTAAAACCTCTCTTGTTAAAATCAGAGCTACCATCTGAATTTATGCTAGAACCATGGGAAAATGCACTAAAATATATCTTTCTTGGGTTAAAAACAATTGAAAATGTAATGGGAGAGGAAGGCTTATGCAAGAATAGTTTCGGTTTTATTGAAATATTGTTTAAAACAATTCTTTTAGCCCTTTCTCATTTCAATCGTCATATCATTTTGACTTGAAAAATTAAAAATGTTTTAATTTCTTTTAGAACAGATCATTAACTCAAGAAATGTGGTAAAGCTAAGTTGCAAAATTTTTTGAGCATCCAGAATTGCAAAATCACGTAATAGCATTAAACTGAATGCAAGTTCCGACACAGAACAACACCTGCGTTTCCAGTCTTCTCCCATACTGATTATTCTCATACCAGTAAAACTTGCCATTTAATCATGCTATGCTGTATGTAGCCTTTGTTGTCTGCCAATAATTGAAGCTGTACCTTAAATCCATCAGATTTTTTTTATGAAAGGAAGATAGCTTACATTATTTTTCATCTGTTAATATCATGAGCTATTATCAGAATGTAATCTCACATGTAGAATGAAGCAGCCACTGGTCACAAGCATCTTCTCAGTGCATGCGTCTTTAAATGAGTAGTCCTAGCCAAAACTCCACTCAAAATCAGATGCAGGTTTCTATTTCACCTTTCTGCCTGGAAAAATCAGATCAGGTGGAATTTGTTAATGCTCCCTGAGTCTGTATATGTGGCTAACTAAATTATTTAAATGCATTGAGTATTAAACTATGTAGTGACATCATTGCAGCAATAATCAATTTGTAATATGTGGAAGAAAGGTGGAAAATAATAATGGGATAAGACTTATTTAACAAGCACTTTGCATTGCAACTGATTTTAAAGAATTCATAAAAAACCTGATGTTACTTAAGTGCTATTATGCTGGGAGTGATGAGTTTGAAATTTGCCTCTCACAGATGCAGTATAAGCTTTTTACATCCTCAGAAGAGCTGCTGCTTCCACTTTTAAAATCTCCATTATGCCCTTGAATGGAAGATCCCCTGCATATTCTTGTATGTCAGTAAATAAACCAAAGGAATATGCTACCTAAATGACTCCTATCCTGGTCTCCATTATTTGTGACATTTTTTGTTTCAATATGAAAGCTCCTATTTAATGATTACTAGTTGATCCAGAAATGATGAGTCTTTATAGATGTTAATTGCCTTCACTTTACTTCAAAGAAATCTGGTTATTCAAAAAATCAGTCAGAACAGTTAGCATACACAGTCTTTTCAAATTCATAGCACCAAATATAAACCAGTTTTTGCCAAGCTTAGGTTTTAATCATCTGTTCATTAAAGGTGTAGTTTTTAATTTTATTTGATAACCATGTACAGAGTAAGATGGAACCCAGTGCTGTGGTCATCAGCTTGGTCAAAGAGCTGAGAACACCAGTTTGATGGCCTTTTGCTCCACAACATCTAGACAACCTTCTTCTGTGTTGAAGTACCAGGTTGGATTTTCAAAAATTTAACTTGCAGCAAACATTTACTTAATATAAAAACTTACAAATAAACATTTTTCAAAGCAAGTTTCAAAGCACTGTATTTATTAGAGTACCATATATTTCATTTCAGTCCCCCTCAACTCTCTGTGACCTCAAGTGCTACACTTGAAGATACAAGTACAATGGAGGAGTTTAGTCAAGCAATTCAGATTTATATTTGATTTCCTCCTACCATTTTCTTCTAACAATATCTTCAAATCCAGGCCAGCATTATTTTACATTGGTATGCCAAGATAGCTTTGGCATGTCAAAATGTTTTATGACAGCTTGAACAAAGAACCATCAGAGGTCCACTTTAGATTTGCAAGTTTACCTCCAGTCCAGGCCCCATTACAAACACAAGAGGATGGCTCATTCTCCATCTCCCTGCCTGAAAGCACAATTATAGGAGGTTAACCTGTTGCTTTCTTCTCATTTTCTCTAGTCTTTTTTGAGTTTCAGAAATAAATATTTATAATTTTTAAAATTTGTAACATTATCAATAAAGTTGGAAGAACATCTATTTGAATATATAATATGGCAGATAATAACATCTGGACAACCTTTCAATCCTATTCTTGTATATCAGTATATCAATTAGCAGAGGAATATTCTTGCATTTTCATATTGAGTTTTAATTCACTGATTTAATTAAAGTTCAAGACTGTAATCCTCGTGAGCCAAATTTATTTCATAATTGCTTGATTAATAGGTTTCCTGGGTTGCTCTACTTTCACTAGAAGTTTCTACTTTCACTAGAAGAGAAAAAATAATTTTCCTCAATCAGCAGCAAGCTAGGAGATGAAACTACATACTGGCCAGAGTGCTACATTGCCTGAGTTGCACTGGGTGCCTTACTGGAGAAAGAGGGAGCAAAACCAAAGTTGCTGCATGTTATTCACTTAGGTGCTTCAGAGAGGGAATGATTGTGCCACAGAGCCCATTTTCCCTTCCTATGCCTTCACAAGTTGTCTACAAGTGTTCCTCAGGTTCATATTCCAGTGCAAGAAACATACTTAAGGATATAAATTCTAAGTGCTGGGAATAGTTTAGTTTAGCTGTTGCCACAGTCTGTAAATAATATTATATTCGGTAATTTAAGCAAATCTAAGTAGGTGAAGGAGCCTTTCAAATACCACTAGGAAATAAATATAAAGAAGTACTGTTTATACAGCCTGGGAAAAGAGGGTAAGCTATCCTTACACAGAAAAGAAAGTTTCACCTCTGCTGCTCTCATACCCCTTCCCTTGCTTTCTTTTTGCTCCTACTCAAATCTTGCATCTTATTTCATTGAGCACTATTTACTTCTTTCACTTCAAGTTAGAGATACAGATGCTAATGTTAGTCATTTTAGAGATGGGATTGTTTATTTGTGTCAGCATGCTTGTAGATGATGCCTAAAACTAAAGTTGCCTCTCTGAGCAGCTCTGATGCAGGCACCGTGGAAGCAGGTTCACTCTTCCAGGGAGCACTCTGCATAATGAAATTCCTGGGCTGACTGCACAATAAGTGCCTTTGCTTCATCACAGTCATGCTTTCTTACATCATTACAGTTAAATTTCCAGGCACCAAAACCTACATTGACCCTGAAACCTACGAGGACCCAAATAGAGCTGTCCATCAATTCGCCAAGGAGCTAGATGCCTCTTGTATTAAAATTGAGCGTGTGATTGGTGCAGGTAAGGCTGTCGTGGCTTCCTGATTCAACTGTTCCATTTAGCTGGGATCGAAACTCATACATCATAATGACAGGCAAATAATTATACCTCAAGTATAGAAGAACTTTTTTCATTTGCCAGAGTGGTTAAGAGCAATGAAGCTGCACTCGCTTCTAAAATGTAAAAATAAACAGGAGAAAAAAACAACAAAACCCAAATAAATAAGCAAATGAAGAGTCTTGCTTGACATTGAAAGCTTGTGGGTTTCTAATTCTGTATCTGCTGTTAAAAATGGGGATGGGGGGACAGTTTTGCTGCCTATTATTTACTGTCAGGGTAAAGACATTAGGTATGAGTGCAAATTCTGCTTGCTTTCCTTTTGGAAGAGGGCTTTTTGACTTCTGAATTTTTGTTCGTGTGAGTAAGAAAAACTGGCTGCAGCACAAAATCTTAAATAGAGACTAGGAAGGTCTTGTTTCTGTATAACAAAATCTTCCCTGAGGCTGTTTCTTGTTCTACCATTTTTCTTTTTGATATTGTATGAATACAAAAAGTTATTGTTTAACTTCTCATGACTGATTGTAATTGCACCAGCATTACATAGCTTTTTTTCCTCTTGAACTGTCTACCACCTACTTAAGACATGGTGTTCATGCTGTAAAAAGGTAGTTTCATTTGTTTGCATTAATAAGATATGTGTCATTTTTATTGCACTATTCCATATAGTGAAATTAAGTTTCCATGGGTAAGAAAAATGTCAAATACTTTGGATTCCTGGAGGAAATGTTCCTTTGCTTTCCTGGTGTTTTATAAAAGTACTAGGAGAATACTTTTAAAATTACCCTGTAGTTTGGCATGCACTGTGTATTACATGTTGTGGTATTATTTAAAAAGAGAAGAAAAAAATGTCTCTAAAATAATCTGGTTTACCTTTCAAAATTTTTTTACACTTTGAATTTACAATACCTCTTTAAAGTAACTTCACTCATGTTGAATCGTGTCTTAATCAGGGATTAGTACTGTTGAAATTAATAACACAGCTTGAGCAAACTATTCCCTCAGATGAGTAAGAGCATAAGAATCCAGCCCTTGCTAACTAGTAATTTTTGTGTTGCTAAGTGGTAGCACCTCTTCTAATAAATGCACAATATACAGCATTTAAGTTCAAGATTAGCATAGAAAAATTTCTGAGCTTTATCTTTTATTTTGAGTTAAAAAAACTATCAGCATAGCAACTGTTCAGATCACAAAGATACATTCAGTTGGACTTTGGTGATGCTTTCTGAGCTAAATGCTGGAAACGCTTCAGTTGCAAATACAGTTTAAAACATAATTTCACTGTTATGACAGAGTAATTCCAGAATGTTCATTTTGCTGACTGCAGAGTAATTTATTTTTTATTTTAATGAGCATAACTGATAGCAAAAAAAAATAACCTGTGTCAGTAGTCATTCTGAAGAAAGTTAATTAGAAGCATTATGGTGAAAGCATATTGTATATGGGGTTTAGCTGTGGCTTTAACCTGTTGATGTAGCTAGCAACTAGGAGTGAAATTAAATGCAGTCCAGGAACAACAGAATGTTAAAGACTTGAAGAAGCAGCTGAAACTCATACATTGAGTAAGAATATAGGATTCCTACTAGAGACAGTGCCAGAAAAAACTCTTAGCTGTCTCAATATGCATCAACAATGCTGGCTACAGCAACTACTGGGTAGTGCCACGGCTCTTTCAGGCAAACAGGGTGCAAGTATGCTTATGCTCAATTTGCATGGGGACATGTGCTTTCCTTGCCAACATTTTCATCACTGTCTCACTTCAGCCACCTGTCAGATACAGAATATAGTGTTCACTATGTTGAGTCCTTGTTTGTACCACACATTCTTTGGTTTAGCTTCCTCCTTGTCGACACACTGAGCTGGTAGCTGTGCAGCTGTGCAGTATTCCCACTCTTGTTGTCATACTTGCTGGATCGTTTGGGGGCATAATTTCATCTGAATATACTATTTTCTTGAGAATAAAAGTAGTTCATTGGCTAGCATCCTGACTTGAAATGCATAATACAAGTCCAAGTTTCTGGTTTGCCTGAATGTAAGTGATCTGCTTTTGGAAATCAATCAAAATCAGCTCATGGAGAGCTGGAAGGGAGTTAAGCCTTAATGTCTCCTCATGCCAAGTATCCTAATTACCTGGCTCTGAAGTATCACATGCACACACACACACGTTTATACTCGTGACTTCTTTTCAGCATAGAACAAAAATAATTTTGGAAGGTACTGCTAGAGAAAATTGTTATCCTGTAGTAAGTTCTTGTTGCTAGAAGCTGTAAGTGAGGTGTGTGGTGATTTCATTAATAGTTATCCACATTGTTAATGAAATGCACAGGAAGGTTAAGGCACCATACTAAGGGCATGAGCAGCTAGTTGTTATGTGTGTAACAGTATGAATGCCTCATGGTATTCATAGCTATGACATGGACATTCAGACCATGACTCCAGTACCTGCGGATGATTGAGGCTAATGCCTCCCCTGTGCAGGCAGAACAGTTGTAGTCTGTCTGTCCAATTGGCTCAAGTACAGCATGGTGTTAAGAGAGGTATATGGAATTGGTTGGAGCTAACCTTTACTTCAGGTAGTGTAGAACAGGAGGGAGAGGATTTTGATTGTGTATGTAGTCATCTTCTATGAGATTCATGGAGACTCAGGAGTGATTTGACCAAGAAGTTGGTTGGAAACACTAAGGTCTCATCAAAGTTCTACCCTTCTGGCTGGAGAACTGTGAAGCTGAGCTCCAGGTACTGCTTTTTTCCTTCTCTAAGCTCTGCTGTTGGAGGTTACAGGAGAGTACTGTTGGAACAGTGGTGGTGCCCTAAACAAGATTTCTCAGAACTCACCCATTAGAACACTTTAAAATCTTCCTCTTCAAGCATTCAGTCTCATTTCCAAGCATACCTCTCTCCACTGCCAGCCAGTTACCTTATTACTGTGTATGTGCACTTAAGTCGTTATGTGCACTGAACCCATCAGGTTTCTCAGGACCTCAGTCTATGTCCCAGAGGATTCTCTAATCAAGCTCTCTGTGTTAATCTTTCCTAATTCCATAATTTTTTTTTTTAGCACTTACCCTAAAACATGTCTTAGATGAAGGTGTGTCTGCATACTTGTGTATACTCAATAGCTTAATGTTAAGGCACTCTACAGGTATGCAGGAGATATTTCAGACTTGATTTAGAGCAGCTTTTAGGATCTATCTATCTATCTATCTATCTATCACATTCTCCAGAAAAATTTGTAGTGTACCAGACTATTAAATAATTTTGTTATCAATCTCTCTTTTTAAATGTATATTCCCCCTTATTCAGGATAGGATATGTTACTACCCTTTTCTCCTATATGTGTCAAGAAATTTTTATTCCTGGCTACAGAATAAGGAGTCTCTCTCTCTGTTGACACAGCTGTGAGACAAAAGATAATCCTTAAGTCTTTCACAATCTCAGTAATAACGAGCTAGATGTTTTGCCATTTGGCTCCACATCTCACATCCATCCATTCGCTTTCAAGTCTGATGGAGTCCAATTACTTCTCTCCCAAATTATAGTTGTTGAGGTGTTTGGGGGTTTTTTGATTTTGTATTCTTGGTAGCTATTTTGCCATTTTTTTCACATGCTTCTTGAAGTTCCAATTGTCTGTTAGTTTAGAAGCTTTATACAAATTTCCAGCATTTGCTTGTCTTTGTTTAATGTAACAAAATTATTATAAGTCACACCTTTCGTTTCATAATCTGCAGAGTAAATTATCCTGCTTGAAGGTAATAATGTAGGCCTCATTTAACACCATAACGATGTTAAATTAAAAGCAGCTCTGAAAGGGGTGACTTTTGAAAGAAAAAAAAAAAAAACATTTGATCTAAAGATAGCAAGGAAACCATGTAGAACAGAATCACATTTTCACTTAGAAATGGTATTACTATTTCTGTAATACTATTTTCTTATGAAAGCTATTCATATTCATTTCCTATTTATGAAAAAATGTAACAAATTATGAAACAAATCTTTTAAAAGATTCAAGTAACAGTCCTGTAGATTGGCTTAATATGAAGTGTTTACTCCATAAAATACCTAGTAAGCAATTAATTTATAATGTGTGCCTGTCTTTGTGTTGTTAACTAATCCATTTCAAATATGGACATTTGCATGTTACATGTAAACGCACATTTAGGTGGCTAGTTGAATCAAGGCCTAAAAAGAATGCTGATATTATAGTCAGAGTAATTCAACATTCATCTACTTCGTTTTAGGAGAGTTCGGTGAAGTGTGCAGTGGACGTCTGAAGCTTCCTGGAAAGAGAGATGTTGCAGTAGCCATAAAAACTCTGAAAGTTGGCTACACGGAAAAGCAAAGGAGAGATTTCCTGTGTGAAGCAAGCATCATGGGACAGTTTGACCACCCCAACGTTGTTCACTTAGAAGGGGTCGTTACCAGAGGTAAACAGAGACTTAGTCTGTCAGTCAAATAACAGCAAAATGGCAGAAATTACTTTAGTTTATTTGGGGTCAACGATTCTAATTATAAACAGGCTGCACACTCCTAGTGGATTTTCTCCTGATGCATAACTAACTAAAACAATACTTTATGCTACGACCTGAGGAAAAAACATGATACACACATGATTAAAAGATGAAGCACTTTGAAATATATTATTTTTCTAGTTTCATTTACCCTCAAAGACCATGCAGAGAGATAAGGTTTCTTATGTCCTTTTATATTATCTGAAGTGTCATTATTCTGGAGTCCTGTTACACAGCAGGAGTTAGGAGAACACACTGACATTTTGATTTGTATGGTTTAATTTTGTGAATCATGACCACGTTCCATGCAGATGTTTTAGAACTCATTAAAGCTCCGTAACAGTGCTGGAGGCCTCAGAACTGTTAGTTGTCCCAATGATTAGGTTCTTCAAAGGAATAACACGTGTTTTAACAAAAAAAGACACTCCATTTGTATTACAGTTTCTCAAACAAATGCTTCCTTTCTTTCAGGGAAGCCAGTCATGATTGTAATAGAATACATGGAGAATGGGGCCTTGGATGCATTTCTTAGAGTGAGTACCAAAATGAAAACATATATAAACATATTTTAATTGACATATATTATATATGCATATTTTCACTTTTAAAAATATGAGCTTATATATGTACATATGTGTGTATGCATGCATGATATTCATGTAATTAAAGTAGTTTTCAGGCTGAAACGGAGCTTGACAAATACTAGAAGTTCTCAACGTTATTTCAGCAAAACCAGATCAGATCACATGGGAACATTCTAGAAATTTAAGTGATTTAATGTGACATAGACATGGTGAGTTTTATTATTGCCACCAGCAGAAGTTAAAACCACTGACACCTGAAGCCCAGTCTTTTGTCTTTTGGGAGCAGAATTTAATTGTGTCAGCATGGTGGAAATCAGCATACAGGAATCCCTAAGTGATTGTTGTGTTTAAGAGGGCAAAGGAAAAAGAAATGTGAGTTTACAGCAATTTAACATTTTTTGAGTGTGTGTTCTGAACGGCCCAGTTATGACTCTTTGGCAGGTGTATGACAGTGTGAGATGATGTATAAACACTCTGTGGAGAGCAGAAAGATTATGTCTGTTTGATAAACTCCAAGCTATGAATAAAATTATCAGTAGCTAGGGTTCAAAAGGAGATAGTTCTTATTTTCTTGATACAAATAAATATGCTGAGAGATGAAGAACATAGAGAACTATAAAGAGCTGTGCATCAGGAAATCTCTCTTAGAAGAGAGTTTCTATGACCTCGCCAGAAATTTGTAGTGATTAGCAAGTTTTGTTACTTAACTATGCACACATTTCTTCACTGGATGTTCTGCTTTACCTCTGAAGAAAATAAAACTTGTGTTTGAAGTGAGTTTCTTTGCCCCAGGATGAATTGCCACAGAAGTAGTAAATAAGTAGAAAGCTAAAGTTGTAAAATTAATTCTTATTTCTCTTCTCAGCTATACTAACAAGAATTGCTGCTCCTTTCTTCCCTCCAGAAACATGATGGGCAATTTACAGTCATTCAACTAGTGGGAATGTTGAGAGGAATTGCTGCTGGAATGAGATATTTGGCTGATATGGGATATGTACACAGGGATCTTGCAGCACGTAATATTCTTGTCAACAGCAACCTTGTTTGTAAAGTGTCAGACTTTGGCCTTTCCAGAGTTATAGAAGATGATCCAGAGGCTGTCTACACTACTACCGTAAGATAAATCAATGGCTCTTAGTAGTTTTGAGCTGTGGTTGTTAAGAAGAAGCATATCTTCTAGAGAGTATAAATAAGAGAAATACATTAATTGCTTGAGAAATGTTAACCAGTCAAAAGGAAAAGAGTCTCTGCAGAAATCTGGTTCTAATTAGGTATTGATATTTTTGTAAGAAGATATTTTTTTATTTGGTAAAGTTCTAAAACTTTTGCACAGTATCTTCATTATTCCCTTCCTCATGATCTTCTGTTTGAACAAAGACTGGTTTTACCCATAAAAATTTTAATTGTCTCGTTTACTATGAATCAATTAAAATATTTGTAGGCTATTACTGTTTTTCAGAGTAGATTTTATCTCACGAAAAAGTTGACTAGCTTGAGGCTAGATTGTGACAAAGCTCAACTCCTGTGTTTTCCCTTGCATTTGGGTGGGACATTTTACTTAAATAAGCGTTGATGGGGCACACTGTGCTCTTTATTCTTTTGCTGAGCTAGCTCCACTTTCCCACCCATGGGGCCTTGCTGTACCTATTTTCCCATGCTGAGGGAAGGAGGGGCCCCTGGAATCTGCTCCAACAGGCACAGGGATCTAGGAAACTGCACCGGCATTCACGGCTGTCACTCCTGCCACTGGGCTCTGAGTGAGATCCTGGCTTAAAAACACAAGACCAAGATTTCAGAGGGGTTGTATGACAAGTCAGTGGCATTTATATGCACAGGATGAGATTCCCCTCACCAAGCTTCAGACAGCCAGGAGTTCAGTGACTAGTGTAAATCAGACATTTAAGCAGACCCTTAAAATCAGTGGAGAGACCAGCACTTCCAGAGAAATGCATCCAACTTAGCTTAAACAGGTATCTAAGTTTCTGTGATCCAAGTGTTTTAAGAGCCTAAACTTCCTCAGACTCCTTTGAAAATTCTGTATTGAGTTAAATATAGTAGATGATATAAGTGCTAATTTCGATGTTGTTGGAAATAATTATAAATGCACTCTAAGAAAGGTGAGACGGAAATTTCGTGGGGGAAAAAAAACCCTTTCTTCTTTTTTTTTTTTTTTTTCATAGGGTGGAAAAATTCCAGTCAGATGGACAGCTCCAGAGGCCATCCAGTACCGCAAATTTACGTCAGCCAGCGATGTGTGGAGTTATGGAATAGTTATGTGGGAAGTAATGTCTTACGGAGAACGGCCTTACTGGGACATGTCCAATCAAGATGTAGGTTATACTTTGTGACCGTGTGTGTTAGAAAAACAAAAATTACGTATTGTAAAAACACTCATATGTTTTACTATGCATGCATAAAATGTTGGTTTAGAAATAAGATTTATCAAAATACTGTAGGGTTTTAACACAATGAAAAAGTTACAGAGCTTTTACTTTTTACCTAAGCCCCTAAATTGTTCTTCTGCCATGTGGATATTGTAGGTTCCTGTCCCAAGCATCAAGTAAAATTGGAACATCCAAAATAGTAATATGTGCTCCTCACTTTATTACACTTTAGAACAGAATGAATTATTCTTATTTTCCCAATAAAAAATAATTCTGAGATTTCTGACCTCAGAGCAATGATTAATCAGCTTTAAGAAGTTGTTAAAAATTATGAGTGGCAGTTAATGACCTACTTTGGCTTTTTCAAGTTAATTATGCTGATTTAACAATAGCCTTGTTTGAATAAAATATGACCCAGAGCAACAGGTCAGCAGTAATAGAACAGATGGGTGTTAATCTTGATTTCTGACAAGAATATCTATTAATATAGAAAGTGCACAGGAAAATGCCGCGCAGGTGAGAAAGATGTCAGAAAGAGTCTCGTTTAAAGTTCTTCAGGTCAGGAGCTTGAGTGGTTTTTTTTATTATTATTTTACTTTTTGATTGAATGATCGACATCAAAGCTGAAAAAAAATATATAAAAGTGTAAATGATGAGTCAGTTTGGCACAGTGCAAAGTTGTAATATTTGACAGGTCTCAGTGTCAGAGGTTTCATGGACTGTCAAAATATGGGCAAACAAGTCCTTGGGGCAAAGAGAGAGAAATATTTACATTCCCTAGACGCCCAGTAGAGTTTCATTTCTTTTGACACCTTCCTTCTGTACCAGATTCAAACATAAAAGAAGTCTGACAGGAATATAAGATGCCTCAAAGGCAAAACCTTACCTATCTTTCAGGGAACAATAAGGAAGAACTTTTAAATAAGGGAGAAATTTTAGTATCTTCATGTTTCTAGTTGGATTTTGAAAAGTATTCCCTCTGTTGAAAACTACAAGTAAAGCACATGAATGAACCTTTTTCATAAAACAGCTAATTACCACTTCTTGCAGTTTCATCTCTTTTTAGCATCTTACCTAATAATCTTCAATAGCACATAGTAAAAAGATGCACAAATTGCTTGGTAGAATAATTTCAAACATTTTCTTATGCTGTGATCGTCCCAAATTTTTGTGTGATCTTTGTGTCCTCCCAAAATATTAAATCATCCTACCAATCCCATAGTTCTATCTGTGATGCAAAAATCTAGAAACATGGTCTGATTAGTTATTTATTCTCTTTCAGTTACCAATGGGAATATTTAACTGGAATAAAAAATGCTAAATGTGTCTCTTCTAATTTTTTTTTTTATACACTCAGGCATTTTATATGTCTTAATGTGTCAGTTTGCTTAAAAGTGGATGTGGACATAGTCATAGGCCAGATCAGATCTCCTAAAAAATATGTTTTCCTGACTTTGGATCTTTAGATGTTATTTCATTAATTCTTCCCCTCTTTCTTTAAGTCATTATTTTGGATTGGTGGAGGATACAGTTTTGTGTTGCAATATTTTTTTACGGGAAAGTCCTCCTTTTACCAGTAACTTGGAGCTAGGGTGCACCAGAAGAACCCTCATCCTACACGCTCCCTGTGGAGGCACAGTGGACTGATTGCAGATGATACACAGGGTCCCCCCAACTTCTCTGAGCAGCGGTTTCTCCTCAGCATAAGCCTGGCTGGTAACAGTAGCCTTCAAATCTCTGCACTTTACCCTGCTCCCCTATTAGACTGCTGGTGTTTGCTGGTTCTTACTCTCATTTGGTTACTGACGCTAGTGCAGATTAGTTCTTCAGAAAAGGACAAGAGTTTAGGCTTACATATTTTTTGTTGCTGTAATCCATTGTTATGATTATTAATTTGCATTATTATTATATACCCAGAAGCATAGTGATAACATTACATTGTCCAGTTGCCTGTATTTAATAATTCTTTGCGGGCAACCAGTGTATACAGTGAACAGAGCTGGTCCCTCTTTTAATCTACTTTACATCCTCCGATAGCCTGATTATGACAAAAGCATACTTGACTCTTAACAGTATTCCCTTTGTCTCTTTTTGCAGCAAAAGCAGGATTTGAAAAACAAATTGTGGGAAGCATAAATACCATAAATCATTTCTATTAGTAAGAACTCCAGCTGTGTTCTCTTCGTAGCATCGCTTATTAAAAATAAATAAATAAATAAGTGATCCTGCATCTATTTCATTCTCTCAGAATACTGATTTTTGGAACCCCACCCCCACCCTTCTTAGCAGAGTAGGCACATGTAGTACCCTTCAAAGTGCCAAAGTTTTGTATTAACTTTATTTTGTCTTCAAAAATAAACATTAATTATCAATATTTTAAAATGTTTTTTTTTTTTTGTTTGGTTGGTTTTTTTTCCCCATGTTTTGGATATTGCCAGCAATTCAATCCATCTCTGGCTAACTCATTATTTTATATTTCCCAGTTTCATCCTTCTTGTTCAGAATAAGCATCAAAGAAGGTGTTTCTGCAGTATCCCTAGACTCTTTACACTCTTGGATATAGTCTTATCTCAGTGGTCTGCCAGTTCTAAGTTCAATCTGCTTTGTTTGTAGCAGTTCATATGTGTTGTGCACAAAGGTTTTAACAAAGGTTTTAATATCTTTTACCTTTTAGAAGTTCAGAAATTTCTGTGTTACTTTTCATAGCCCGCCAGTTGTCCTGTACACACCCTAGCTTATTTTTCACATTTTTTTCCACTTCAGCTTCTAAGCCTAAGGAACTGTTTTTGTGTGTTTGTTTGTTTTTTTTTTTTTCCCTTAATACTGATCTAAAAGATCTTTACTTTTAATATTTTCTTTCCTGTACAGTACTGCTCTTCCCTGTTGTGCAAAAATACTCTGCCCCACCCTGTCTGACAGACAACTTCAGTGTCTCTAAAAGGTCACCATACTCATTCCTCAAGGTGTGGGTGAAACTGCAGGAGTTGAATATTTCTCAGTAATTTTTGAGTTGTAGGATGGTACTGTCATTCTAAATGTTCAGATAGAAAGCTGAGGCCCAGGGAGACAACTTCCCTGAGGTTGGAAGGACATTCTGTGACACAAACCTACAGTACGTGTCCTACCAGTGGGCTATGCCTCCTCTTTTCACTTCTTTTCTCCAAAAAGGTTTTGATACAGTCATGGATTTCAACAAGCTTTTTGAAGGTCATTTTGTATTCTTTGCAGTTCTGTCTGCTTTGCAGTCCACTGCTTTTGCATTTTCTCACACAACCTATGGAATATTTTCTATCTGAGGTTATTATTTTCACTATACCCTGGATATTCACCAAGTATATTTATCATGCCATATCTACTTCCTGGGGCTACATCCAGAACAGCTTCTGATCTGACTTTCTGACAAACTGAGGGAAAAGACAGTCCTATGCACTACCCTTCAGGAACAAGCACCCTTCCTTAGCAATTCTAATACTACTATGTCAGTCAATGTCAGTATACTTGAAATCCCCCATGAATGGTGTTTTAGCCCTTTTTCACAAGCCTTTCTTATCTGCCTGGCTTCCTGATGTGCTTTCTTATCCTGCCCTCAAGGTTTACAGCAGTTTCCTGTGATTTTACTTTACCCATTTTTATTTTTTATTTAAATCCAAATGGACTTGGCTAAGTAAGTCAACGGGTGGGTGTAATTCTTGGTTTAAACATTTATGCTGTCCTTCAATCATATCTTTATCTAGCAACATCTCTTATTAAATCTTTCTGTTTAGGTGATATAGTAAAATATCATTCAGCCAGGTCTTCTTCTCTCATGTGTTAACATTTCTTTATCATTTATGTAACACATCTAAACATAAAATACAACCTTTTACCCTAACAATTTTTTCTTCTGCTAAATATTTTTCTTGGATCCTTTTATAATATCTTCAGGCTTTTTGTATTTTATATGTGTATGCACAGATCTCTATCCGTTTACATGTCTGTTGCTTCTACCACACACTCCTTCATAAAAGCCTTGGGGCAAGTAATAATGCTTTCTGAAATAACTCCATTTATCAATGTATCTGTTGCTCCCTTGGTGAATTTAATTGTTCCCTGCTGCTCACTTGACTAGGTAATATAGCTATGTTCTGCACATATAGAACAATATACTTAATAAGCCCAAAGATGAAGTTAGGGAAATTATCTGAAAATGTGAAGGCTACTGGCAAAACAACAAACTCATACTTTTGTAACACTGATGATAAATTTTAGTTTATTGATTTTTTTTTCTTTATTTTGTTTCCTTTTATTTCTTAAGATGGATAGCAATATGTATTCCTTAAATATCCCTTGATGAAAAATGATTAACTATGTTGGCTACTAGGTTATAAAAGCAATTGAAGAAGGCTATCGTTTGCCAGCACCCATGGATTGCCCAGCAGGCCTGCACCAGCTGATGTTAGACTGTTGGCAGAAGGAACGTGGTGAAAGGCCGAAGTTTGAGCAGATAGTTGGTATTCTGGACAAAATGATTAGAAACCCAAACAGCTTGAAAACCCCACTAGGAACCTGTAGCAGGTAAGAAAAGTTTTAGTGTGCATTCTTATGATGGTGCACGTGGCTGGGTTCCGGATGTTCTGCTTGGTGACTGGTTCTAGTTCACACCCGCTCCATGTGTCTCAGTTCCTCCTTCCTTCTGTTCTCTGTTCTTCCCTTCCCTCATTTGACCTTCTTTTTTATCATGCTGAACGAAGCCAAAAATTACTTTCTTAAAAAAATAACCAGAATAAAGAAAGTAAATATGGAACTAATGCATTTCTCAGTAAACTACCACCCACTCATCACTCACTCCACACTCATCACTAGCAGACTTTGTTTTCCTTGTTTCTTAATATTATTAAATCTGGACAGCAAGGATCATCATCTATTGTAGTTTTACGTGATGCATCACTTGCTCTAGAAGGTGCTACAATAGAAATAGTAATTAATAATGCTCATGCTTGGCCAATGTACTTTGACATGCTACACTAGATTTTTACCTCTCATTTTATGGCTTTTTCTCCCTTCAGTGATTGTATCTCATTGTATTTCATGGTGTAGCTTTTAATGGCTTCTTCATAAATTTCAGGTGGATTATTTAATCATGGTAATCTTTTGGTCTGCTACTAGATCACTGCACTAGGGAATCAACTGGCCTGTGTTCTGCTCCTGGTTCTTCTACTGACTGACTTGCTATGTGACTTTAAGCAACTTACTTTGTGCCTCTGCTCTTTCCTTGTCTTTGTTTTGTCCCATCCAATTGAATAATGGGAATAGCTACTACTATACTTTCTAAGGTATTTAAAAGAATAGCATCTTTGTATTACTCAGCAACTTTAGTTGCAGCTGCTGTCACGCTAGGTAATAAGGTTGATATCCTGTTGATAACAATAGGCCATTAGGCTAATTTTGCTCACTCTGATCTTTCATCTTTTACATGAATATGCTTAGGAAGTATATATTGTGAGCTACAGAGTAGTCAAGAGCTATTCACAGAATAATCTAAACTGTTTTATAAAGGCCTGTTACTTTCTACTCTTGACATTTTTAATACCCCAAACTTATTTGACTCTCACCTTGCTAAATACTCCCTGATGTTTTACTCTCTTTGGAAACAACTTACTTTCCTTTTTCCTTCTCCGTAGACCAATTAGCCCTCTTCTGGACCAGAACACTCCCGATTTTACCACTTTCTGCTCCGTAGGCGAATGGTTACAAGCTATTAAGATGGAAAGATATAAGGATAATTTCACAGCAGCAGGCTACAACTCTCTTGAATCAGTTGCCAGGATGACTATTGAGTAAGTTAGTACTGGGCATGTTTAACTTGCATTTAGGGAATTTCTAGGTAAAGTAATACACAATGTTCAACTCCAAAATTTCACCCTGAGCACAAACGTGGTACCTGGAGTTAAGCCATCTGGTCAGCAGCTGATGATGTCATATTAGAGCTTCTCATGAAAGGGCAAGTACCCTTCTGCCTATGTGTGGCATCACTTTGTTCCCTGCTTTTGAGACCAATTGAAATAACACCAAGAGGCTAGAATTTGAACAAGAATGTGGCCCATTTCAAACTGTCCACATGTAGGAAAATAACCACTTTGCCTCCACTACCTATTGGTGCCTTCTTCCAGATGTATAGTAGGAAGATGTGGAATTTTCTTGTAACTGGCTGGGGGCTGCCTGTATCCTGCAAGAAATGGCTTTGCGTCAGGATAAAAGTCTACAGAAGCAAAACAATTTGAAGGCAAGCATGGCCCCGTATTGGTACTGCAATCTTAAACAAGTCTTCTTGGCACCCTGCTAACAACATTCTTGTCCTGGTGGTTGCCAAGCACATGTGATTCCCCTTACAGAGAGCAGTGGTTTTCTAAAGAAGTTTCTAAACAATATTTTCAAGTTTGTAACCCTACCCTTATCTGCCTGGTCTGACTAGGAGTCTCAGGCTATAGCTTGTGAACTGTCATCAGAGCCCACAAGCTTCTACTAGGTCAGTAGCACTAGCAGCCATGGAATTGAAACAGCTACTCCTCTTTGGTTTCCATGATGGGTATGGGTCTATATGCAAAGGGTTTCTCTAGGCCTTTCTTTAGGAAGCAGAATGTAATACCCAAAATCTTGTGTTTGTAGATGACTTTGTCCTGAAAACCACTCGGAAGTATTTTACAAGAGAAGTGTCTCTTCAAGTGTCCTTAAAAGTCACAATAGAAGATTTTTGTAGGGCAGAACATACTGGCCTCATTCTTAGGTGTGGAGACACATTCAGTGTAATCACATGACAGCTGCCATGTAATTGCACCCCTCACTGAGAAACTGAGCAGTGCCCATATGAGCTTCACAGTACTGAGCTGAGGTTCCAGTGTAGCTTCGGCGTTAGAAACCTGTAGCCCAGACCACTACATAGCTTTGACTCAGTCTTAAATTGAAAAATTAACAATGTACGCATTTATCTTCCCCAGGGATGTGATGAGTTTAGGGATCACGTTGGTTGGCCATCAAAAGAAAATCATGAGCAGCATTCAGACTATGAGAGCACAAATGCTACATTTACACGGCACTGGCATCCAAGTGTGATAGACATTTCTCCCTTATGAGGGAGGTGACAGACTGAGAGAACAGCACTGGCCTTCAGTATATATGAAGTGCTGCTAGAAGACACTTGATTTCCTGGGTCCTTCCTGCAGTGAATAGAAGAGCTACAAGAAGCACCTACAGACTTGAACTCCTAAGTGCCACCAGAATTTATGAAAAGGGAATTAGGATCCACCAGTGGTGGCAAGGAAAACAGCAGTGACAATAAACAAAGTACTACCTGAATAAACATACAAACACCTTGAGCTCTCTAACCTCCTTTTTATCTATTAGACTTTTTAAATGTACATAAAAATTTAAAAAAAAGAATATATTTGTCAGATAAAATCATGATATTATTGTTGAATTCAACAAAATATTTTCCTTAAATCTGTGATTTCTGAATCTTTTTTTAATCATTTGTGTTTATTCTTCATAAAGACTTTCTTTTAGTATGATGTTTATATCTTTGGACCTTTTTAGTGCTAATTCTATGACACATTACACTGGGTACCTCTGAAGGATTATTTGAGTTCCTAGAGATTTAAGAAGCATACCCAAGCAATGTATACCTGTCCGAACTTTGGTATCCTTTTGTGCCATTTACTTTTGTTAAATCAGCACCGTATTGACATGGCTAGCTAATTGGCAGGGAGTCAGGAAAATGCAAGTTGCCAAGAGCTCTGATATTTTTTAAAGAATTTTTTAAGGTTACACATATACTATCTTTTAAAAGAAAATAGAAGTGAAAAAAAAAAAAAAAAAAAAAAAAAAAAAAAAAAGAAAAGCAATAATGACCCCTAAGTAGTTCTAGGCACTTTTAGCAAATTGTTTGCAAGATTATTTTAATGGACTAGAGTTAAAGTGAGATATATTCTAAGATGTAGATCTACAACTGTAAACCTGCTGAGACACTGCATTGGACAAGTGATTGTAGGAGTGTCTCAGAACACAGGTGCAGTTCTCCAGTGTTACCTAAACCATTTAATCTGAGCACATCACATTTTTTTTCAATACTCTGCATTAACAAATCTGAGAGAAATAGCTGGCATATCTTTTATATAAGTTTAAACTGTATGCAGTCCAGCTGTCAGAATAAGGCTATAGATTTTATATGAGAACTGTAGAGCATGAGGCAAGGGGCAGTTCAAAATTTTCAATTTTTTTACAAGCTTTTGCTGCTCTGACCAAACATACATGTACGTGCTCACACAGACACAACAGTCATTCATCCAGAACACAGATGCAAGACTAGTCATTCAATGGAATAAGTTTTTACAACTTTTACTTATATATGAGTTTTGTTTGACCGAAATATTTAACTACCATAAGCAATAATGAACAGTGTCTCTACAGATATTGCAGGAATGTATATGAACCAGAGAGAGATGCTTTAAAAAAAATCTGAAAATTGTGAACTACCCCAGCAATGAAATGCTGTACTTCCAAAGAGAATTGGGCTGCTTCTATTGATTTTGACAGAGAAAGATCCCAGGGATCAGTCATAAATTGGTCTTGTCTGATAATGTGGGCATCCACACAAAAAAAATAAAAACAAAAGAAAAACCCTGTAAATGTTCCTTTGTAAAACTTGTAAATTTTATTTATACTGTCTTGTTTTGTACACACATTTATGTGTAGTGAGCTCTGAATACATTGAAAATGCACTATATTTTTCTATTTTACTTGCAGAGCGTCACAAACAAACATGTATATTCAGTGCTACATAATGTGTTTTCCCACATTTAGGACCAAAGATAGTTATCAAAAACTTAAATGAATCATTTTCCCCTTCCTTTTTTCTCCCCCTTTTTAGATCACTGTACAGTGTTATATTTGTCATTTTATTTATTTGTTTCATTAGGAAAGTCAGTTTGGTTATACTAATTTTTTTGTCCCCCTGCCTTTGTTGAAGAAAATCTGTAAAAAGCTTTTAACTAGCATAATCCCGTTACATAGACACTTCCATTTGTAATCTTTGTAATAGACTGTAAATATATTTTTGGAACTATAATGCAATGTGCATAAGGGTTATTTTTCAGTGTCCATATATGATTGTTTATACAATTCACAGCACTTTACAGTCATGCTGAGAAGCCTAATTTATTGCCTGGATTTGGGCAGAGTAAGAAAAAAAGGTGAATATTCTTATTTCATATTAGATTGTCATTCAGTAGAAATGGAGTTATTTTCATGTATGCAGCTCAAGACGGTTTTTTAGCTATTAAAATTAATTTTCTAGAAATGTTGTAGAAGTAAGACGCAGAGTAGACTGCATGCCCAATATTGAAAATCAGTGCACAGAAGCACTCAGCCAAGGCACTTCAAGGAGCCATTGGAACACTTAAATAATAAACATCCATTTTGTGTTATAACAAATGCTAAGTGCCTCACTACTAGGGTGAGCATCTGTGGGCAACTGCACAGGGTGCTTATCAGTTTTGCTGCTGCTTTAGGCACCCAGCTATGAATTTAGGAGTCTAAGCTCAGACACCTGCTTCCTTATTAGTCTCGGCTATTGTTTCTAAGGGCTTGGCGATTAAAGGTGCGATGCAGCAATGCTGGTATTGCTGAGAACCCACAAACCCTAAATGCAAGAGAGCTGAGGCCAGGCTTGACCTTTAGGACTTCTTCAATATTCTGAAGCACAGAGGCCTCGAAGCATGTGTGGTGACCTGGGCTCACACATGTAAATGTGAAGGCCCTAATAGTATTTCTTCCTTATTTTTCCTTGTTTGATTTAAGCCATCTTTGAAAAGTAAATATATTTTAGTGTTCATCTATATACCTTGACTGCCTTAATGTTGCCACAGATTTTTACACATTTGAAAGTGGTAGAGTAGACCCAGAAAGCACAATCAATACTCCTATTGTATCTATCTGCTCGGAATGTTACTGCAATTTAGAGCACATGCATGTAAATGGATTTGTAACTGGTAGAGCAGCAACATATTGATATTGGTTGCCATTGCCCCAATTCCAGGAAAACATAGTCCACGGTAAGAAAAATTAAGACCCAGAGAAATCTGATATTCATGGGAGGAACTGAAGAACAAGTTAGGTCAGAGGGGGAACTAAAGGCTAAATCATGAATCAAAGAAGTTGTCTCAGTTCTGGCTTGATTTCATTGAATTTGGAAATGGTGCATCACAAAGACAGATTATCAGGCTCTCAGTGAGGCTGATCTTTCTTGACTTTATCCATCTACAAGCATCTAAAAGAGAGATGCCTAAGAAAAGCAGAATGAATCTCCCTCTGGGAATGCTTATCTGCATTACCTGTAGAGGGAACCCAGATGATTAGCTTAAATTAGGTATCTAACATCCAGATAGTTAGAGTTAGGTGAGGTGATTCCTACCCTATATGTCCTTGGCTGCTAGTCCTCCACAAGCTGAGTTTCATAGAAAGGCAGTTCCTTCACTACTACTATGGCCCAGAATGTATTTAAATTGGGCTTTATCACAGAGATAGGTGATTGTTTTTTTTCTTTTATTCAGAGATTTGTAACAGATCGTCTAAATGCTATTTGTATATGGGTATTAATTCTTGAAAAAAAAAATTGCATTTGTTCTGAGGAAGACCTGCCTAGTAAATTACAGTTATTTAATATTTTAAATAATCAGAAATATTTGCTGACATACTGCTTCAGTCCAGAGGTTATGTGATCGGGTATGATAGTTGCTGTTTGCAAAACCATGTTTATCTAAAGTCTCGTCATGTAAAAATCTCCAGGAGGCAAAGATGCTTAAATGTATCTCAAATTGAATGTTGCCCTTAATATCTCAATAATTGAGCTCTGTCTGTATTATTCTCCATTTAAAATGAGTTTTCTTCTATTTGTTTAAGCTGGAATTATTTGGCATCCACTGAGGGACTATGAAACAATGATTTTAAATTAAATTTGCTTTTCTCCACTAATAGTAATATACGGTAAATAGTTTCCACTGTTTTGAATGTTACAAAAACTATCGCTTTAATGTGGGGGATGAAGGGGTTTATTTTTGGTTTGTTGTTGATATTTTTTTACATTTACTGGTTAGTAGTTGAAATAAAAAAAAATAATAATGATTTGTCATTAACTTTCTAAATAATTCATATGTAGCAAATTTGAGAATTATTTACATTTCACAACTTTTGGGTTACTACTGAGACAGTGATCATCTGACTACAGCCATAACACCAAGCAATGCTGAGACACCCTGCTACAAGGGTGGGTTCAGCCAGCATTCTAATGCCCCGTAATGGCATGAAGCAGTCCACTTGCTTTGTGTGAGGAATGAAGGCAAACAGCCAAAAAAGGACTGTTTCAACTTTTAAAAAAATATATGTGACATGTTAAAGCTAACACATCCTAAATGCATCCCTGCAGTTAGAAGCTGATATGCTCATGATATTCATTTGAGTTTTGGTTGATTTTGTTTGTTGGTTTGTTTGTTTTAAGCAAGTGACACTTGGGGTGCTTGTGGAAGAGAACAGTTCCCAGACAGCATGACAAGCCCAGCTTAAAAAAAAAAAACACAATACAAATTCTTGCCTAACAGTAATTCTGACAGCAGGTGCTGCAGGGGTATTCAGGCAGTTGGTGCTATGATTGCTGAGCAACTATCACAGCAGGGTTTCTGCATGTCCAGGACCTGTAAGGATTGTACTTCTGATAAATTAACTAAAATGTAGAAACAGGCAATTTTTTTCCCCCCCACTAACTTGGAATGCACTTGCAGATGGTAGATTTGTAATTCACAAGTTTACTCAAAAGCCTTAGCCTCAAACCTTTCCAGTAAAACAAGAAAGTCTGGGCAGCAACCTATATTTTGTGTCCTGTTCCCTTAAGCATTGTCAAATGTAGACAACAATTACTTCAAAACAGAGATCTTTATTGTTTGCATAGTGTAGCCTTCTATTTACTTAGGAATAGGCAGTTCTGTAATTAAGTTTCCTGCAAAAAGGATTGGGAAGGGATGGAGGAGGGAATACAATAGTTTGGGGAAAGAAAACAGGAAAACAAAGAAAGAAAAATTCAGTCCAACAAATGACCTGCGAAACCTGAAGTACAACTAGGCTCACCATTTTTGTAACATATTCCATACAGGTATTTAAAAAATACAGGAGATTAAACCATAGGTATAATAATCTACAATATCCTGACAAAACAGTAGTCTTGAAGAATGCAAGCTAAATTTTGGGGAATTTTTCCTCTCTGGATTTGGTTTTGTGAGATTTTTAAGTTAGGATAATGGACACACACATTTAGAGTAAAATCTGTTGGGACAGGCTAAGGGACGAAATTAGTGTGTCTATAATATCCTTGAAATTCTCAGTGCACTTTCAGGGTAGGTAAGGATTAGGCAGTTTGAAAGTGAAAGGAGTCATGTGGATTTTCTATGCTGTACAGACACAGGTTATGTCCAGTGAGATTTTGAAAGGTTAAAAAGTTAAAGAGGAAATCCCTCACTTTTGTACCTGGTGAAAAGTCACAAGATGGGAGGGAATGGGAAGAAAGGGGTGTGAAGACATTCAGAATATGTGAGTCTATGTCATAGGGCTCCACAAGACATTACTGGCAGGGAAATTAAGGAGTATGAAGATTTTTTTGTTTAAGTAAAGAGACACTGTTACTAAAATGTACCTCATAATCTAATGTGGAATGGTTTCAGTACTCTGAATTTTTCCTCAGGTCAGATTGGAATTTGTCAAAGAGACTAAACTAAGACAGATGGGAAAGCAACTGGTAATACACAGATCATTCAAGCGGACTTGAAAGAGACATGAAAGGAGAATTTTACATTAAAAGCCTGAAAATAAAACATGAAATATGATCATATTTACTCTCAGAAGGTTTTAGAGTAGTTTTCTTCAAGTCTAGGGCAACGATAGTGGATTTTAGCAGTACCACTATACAAACTGGGTGAGATTAATGTCTAATTAGAATGACCAAAAAAGAACCACAAGTCAAAAAACAGTTGATGTCTTGATAGCCTGTGACAAAAAGATGTGATACAGCCATGCGAAATTTGTGTAGACAGCCAAA